TCAGCTATGTACCTTTTTTTTTTTTCTGTCAAACTTAAAAAGCCGAACCCATACTCTCTAATCATATCTCCTTCACAGATTCATGAAATGCCAGCCCTCTAGCCCCTGCCTGTTAAGGTACCGAATAGAGTGTCTGGTAGGAGTTACAGATTTTATAACTGAGTCTTTTGTCTCCTTCGCCTCTCAAAGGGTTCTGTGGAGCTAGTCAAAATTTAACTCTGGAAACATATGTTCTATAATTCTTCTACATCTCAAATGTAAAAAATTCAGGCTGAGGTATGATTAATGATTTTTTACCTCAGTTCCACTAAAAAAAAAAAATCAGAGTGTTTCTTCTCTTCTGTTCTCACTGGTTTTAGAGATTTCCTGTGGGTTTTTTTTCAGAAGCTGGAATATCTTGATGAGCATAAAGACAGACTGAGGTTCACAGACAGACTGCTGCATGCTTTCTCCCTTTTTGCATAACCTCTTGTAATACAATCATCAATTTAAATACCTTTAGAAGTTAAAAAAATATTTCAAAGTACTCATAAATCTACAGGCACTGGACCATGTTGAAGATCCTTAGAAAAGACAGCAATACTAATCTTCAGGCCAAATTTTCTTTGCCCCTCAACAGACACGACTTTTGCAGAAGAAATAACTCAAGGGGTCTTGTCAGCTCTTCTTAGGTTTGTTGCTGGCTTTTCACTATGGAAGAAAACTTCTTTGTAAGACAGCAAGGATTATCATCCTTTCGGCATTTTTCCCATGCCCAACTTTTCATTCTGGAACTCTTGCCTCTTAAGCAAGGATAACCAACTTTTGCCGTCTTTTCAGTGAAAGCTGAAGAGTAAGTCTTTGTTATGGAGCAGTTTCTGCTTGCTTTTACTTTGGCAGAGCATCTACTCTTAAAGGCCACCAAAACAGAACGAAACAGATTGGTCTATCCATGTCACGCTGTTGGTTCAAAAATAGGTACATATAAAAAGGTTTTAAATAAAAACTAATGCAGACAGATAAAATGTAAATTAGTCTAATTATTGCTTTGCACGTCATTATTTCCCTTTGAAATGCCTTCTTACCTTACACATGGGAGTAGTTACAATTCATCTTTTAAAGTGGAAAAAAGGTAGCATCATTGATTTCATTTGTCTATCAGGTTTGTACATATTTTTGATGAACAGAGCTAGGCATACAGCAAAAACATGACTGAACTGTAAAAGTAATTAGCTTTTGTTCTCTTTGTATCACTTCGATATTAATTTTCAATATGCCTTCAAGCAGGTGGAAAGCATGGAAATGTTCCAGTGAATGTTAAGCTTGCATACTTACGCAGTTGTACTTTGTTTCTTTCTTCCAGTGCCGTAGTCCATGAAAGCAAGGCAACTCAGGAGTTAGCACATATAGACAATGCTTTAAAATTAATTTCTGCATGTTAAGTGAGTAGTAGTGTATCTTCTTGGGTTAGTGACTTTTTTTCCCCCTTGATGTATGGTTAATGCATACACCAACTGCATTTACAGCAGCTGCTGAGAAATCACTGAAGGTAAAAATACTGTGTGACTGTGGATAGCGTCAATAGTACGTACCAGAGTGATGAAATTCCCCTGCCCCACTGTTTACCACTCCATCAAGTAGTATCTGTGATCTGACAATTTCTGTAATTGTACAGATGATCTGCCTGTACAAGATCAACTGAAATGACTCCTGGATCTTCCAACCTGTGCTTGCAGTCCTATTCACATTCTCACCACTACAATCCATTACTGATTTGAGAAAAATGATGCACTTCTGGAAAACTACAGGTACACACATTTTCTTTGATGCTTTGCCCATTACGTCAGGTTGTAAACCCAAGAGAAAATGCAACAGCAATGCACTATATATCTTTGTTTAGGTTTTCAGTTGCACTAAGAACTCTAAAAGCACCATCCCTAAGACAGAGGCACTAGTAAGTATCAGAAGTGGTAAGTATCCCAACTCAGTTTGGAATGGAACTCTGAAGAACATAATGAAGAGACCTGACAAATCTGCCGTTAAAGAAAAATTGTGTCTCTGTAACATTATTACTAAGAAGTAATAGTTTCGCCCTGATGTTTACTGCTCAGCAAAGCTGTATCATTACTTTTTTTTTTCTTTTTAAAATACTGTTAAATCCATTATTTCTGCACTGATATTTTCTATGCAGAATGTACCAAGCTTCTGCTTCTCATCTTAAAGCAGCACTAAGAACACTAGAGTACAATGCCCTCTCATCCTTTTCTCTCAGTTATGTTTCTTGATTCAGTGCCAACTGATGCTCTACTCACTGTTGGCAACAATATCTCCTACTAGTCTACAACTTTAAAGCTAGGGAGTATGTACCTAAAATAGGGTAAAGCGCAAAGGCAATAAATCTTTTGTCATGAGTGCCAAGGCTGTTATCTCTAAGTCATGTGATAAGGACTAGGTTGTACGCCTACTCCCATACTGTCTGTAGGGTGTGTGGTGAGCTATTATCTTTCCTCCATCTGGGTTCTTCTAACCTATATCTGGATTACTCTATTCACCATGGTAGTCACTGAAGTCAGCTACAGCCACTGCCGATAGGAACTAATACGTACCTACAGTAGGTAGCTGAAAGACTAGAATCCTAAAACAAAACAGAGAACAAGCTAATGTGACATCCCTGAGATCCCCAAGCTAATGTAACACCTCAACGAGTTCATGTCATAGAAGATGGACAAAGACTTGAACCCACCTCTTTCAATTAACATATATTCAGCTATTCAGGATAGGATTTTTCAGCTAACTTTCACCATCTAGCTTATTGCTGAGAATTCCTTTCTGGAAAATGCTGAGAAAGATCTCTTTTTCACTTGTGTAAAGTATGATCAGAAAACATGTTTTAGTAGCAAAGAAAATTCAGTTTACTGTTCTCATCCCCATTATAAAACATTTCTAATTTCATGCTGTTCCAGGAAGTAGGCCTCCACTATTGAAAATTTAGGTCCAGTATACATTCCATCAATAGAAAACAAACTTGCAAATAATGCCACTTCTCAAAGAGAAAACAGACTAACTGAAAAAACCCCAAATGTTTCTTTTAATTCATGACAAGTGACAGAGGAAGCCAGTCCATTTTAGCTTGCTGCTAGAAAAATACTCTAGTTGTTTCCAGCTGTTCAAATGATTTGAGTACTAATTTCAGGTCATATAAAAATCACACATCCACTCCAATTCAGTCACCATACAGAAATATTCCAGGTGAAATTTTAGTCTCCTTAGTGCTAGAGACTGCCTTCACATTGCCTTCAGCAGAGTTTCATTCTTGAAACTTGAGTTTCAGGTCTCCTAGAAAGAAATGCTGACAGCTGTTATGTTTTGAAAAATAACTGGGCAAGTTTAAGTGATTTTTAGCAAATAGTAGATAGAGCCATCAGGCTAAGAAAGTTGCATTACACATACTGCACCAATTGTCTGTGACAGAAATTGCTGAGAAGAAATTTCCAGACATCATTATAGCCTTGTTTGTGCAGAGCCAAAACTTAACAAAAGGTGACGAATATGCCCTCACAAAACCTCCACCTGATTTTTACAAAAATAAGTTATTAATGCTCAGGTAATCACCAGAAACACTAGTTGTGTAAAAGTGTAATTTGGAAGATGTATATATGTGCTAGGAGCACAAAAACTACACACTGATGCATGCACATACGAATGTTTTTTGTTTTAAAAGAAAACTTAAAAAAATCTCTAAAGAGAAACTATTGAAAAGAACTGACCTACTGTCAGTTCACATTCAAGCCCCAGTATAGCCATAATCTAAAAGGTTTATGCTCACAAAACCAGGAATACATGCTTGTATGCTTCTAAACGCTTCTGAACACTCTTTAGCACAAACCCGATCTCATTTTTACTAGCTTACACACCTCATGCTAGCTTTGGTTTAGTCAACAGGAATGCAATCAGCAGCAGGTCTTATTACCGGACTTACCATCAAAATCAGAAAATAATGCTTTTCGACAGCTGAAACAAGTATGGTTCCTATTTAGTACGTTACCAGTTAAGTATGCATTACAGGATCCAGTGAAAACCATAATCTAGCAGTTACTGCTCTAACTACACAGTACACAAAAGGTATTTGTGAGAACTTATTTCATTTCACTTTCAATGCAGGCTACGTTTTTAAAATACATTTGGTTTAAACCTAACACTATCATCACCCATTGAAAAACTTGAAAACAACAGGTTTCTTCGTATTGGTAGCACTTCAGATCCAGTTCCATCTGACATGGAGAGACACACAGAGCACAAAGACAAGGCAAAACAGTCAGGGTTTTTTCTGAGCAGCCTTAGTGTCTCACTCATTTGTTGGATGGATTTGACCACGTTAGCTGGTGTCTCAAGGGCAGCCTGAGACTCACACATTGGAAGTCTCATGCATTTTTAAAACTGAAATACACAGAGGTAGAAGGTGAGGACTGACAGGCTTCCAAGGCATTACTGTAATGCAAATACAAATAGTAACTGTTTTCAAAAGCAGGCATGGGTTTACTACGGTAGCCAACAGGGTTCTATCCCATTCCCCATCTGGAAGCTCGAAAAATCATGTGAAATACTTATTAAAACATGACTGTGCACCTTCCCATGTCCCTATTCACTGCGTGACTACCTAGAATATAGCACAGCTATTAAATAGCCTTGTTTATAATCGTTAGCTCCTGTCTTACAGCTTAGATGAACGACATCAACTCCCTTCTCTGAAAATACCTTGTTTTTTACTTTACAGTGGGTATTTTTTACGTAGTTCCTTGCAGCCACTTTTGCTTTACATATTTATGACATGACCCTTATATTTATATATAGATAATAAAACGTAACGACAATGAATAAACAAAAACACTTATAGTTGCAAGTTAGGCTGCACATATCACATTTTTATAGCAACCTTTTAATAAAGCCTAGGGAAAACACATTTACATGAGTGAAGACCTATTTAAAACAAAAACAGAAATCTAAAAAGTAGAAATTCTTACCCTAAAAAACTCTTTAGTGGAGCCAGAATCTAACGTCCCATAAGCAATTTCTGTTTGCTTGGAAAGATCCTCTGCACTTTCAATAGGAGACACCATCCTCTCCACCGTCAGGAAGGCAGCTAAGTTAGCCGTGTAGGATGAGATTATGATGAGGGTAAAGAACCACCACACACCTCCAACAATGCGCCCAGACAGGGATCTAATAACAAGTATGAAATGGATTTGTAAAGTGAAATGAAAGTCCTAAAAAGGAACACATGTTATCAATTTTATGCAAATGATGCATTATATTACAGGGAAGCATTTCAGGCTATCTCGTAGTGCAAGCTCTGCATAGTAATCAGATGGGGAATCAAGGTATACTCCACTACATCTCTTGGACTTCACTGAAATCAGGACTCCAGAGTTTACTTTCGGGAGAATTTAGTGATCCAGTTCTTCAAAGTTCTGAACACCCCAAAAGCAAACTGCTCCCATCATAATGTGCTATATTTAACATGTAAGCTCGTTGTTCCCTCTGAAGTGAATGTGTGACATTATGAGGAGGAACAAACAAAAACAGCGGAAGAGTGCTTTCAGATAAACCAGTATGCACTTAAAAATTAAGTGCCTTTAGCTTGCTTATTTTCCTAAGACATTCAGACAAAGACTGATTTCCACAAAACAATGGCTTATGCTGCTGTGGACAATCTATACTGAGAAACAAACAGCATTATTTGCAATAAAAACTGGCCCAGGGAATATCCATAAACTAAAAAGTGCACACAACTTTTGAAAGACACAAGCATTTAACGAACTGAGGACTGGACATGAAACAATCAGTGACAATACAGAAAAATGGTGAAGAAAGTGTATTTTTAAATAATAATAATCTGATGTTTTTAACTGCAGCGGGTGGGCTCTTATGGATCTTTGTTTTGCATCTCCTGCTCGAGAAGAGAGAAGAAAAGAGAACTCAAGAAAATATATAAAACAGTATAGAGCACACAACTAGAGAAATTCAATGATTTTCAATACTAGAAAACTAACAGAAGAGAAATATTGATATTGCCATTATTGTCAAAGTTGACATTTTTTAACAATCCTTTAAACTTTGAAATTACTTACTACTTTGTTTCCAAACAAGACATTATCTTTGGAGATTATACATAATCTTTGGAGATGTGCTTAATTATTTGGCAGAAATGTGCATGTAGTTGAAAGTCTAGTACTAAGGCGTTGCAGTAGCTTAGGTATGTCTTGATGTGTCTCCTCTATCTATTAAGTAAACAAATTACAAATCACTCACCCAGCCTACTGTATTGTGAATGAGACTTCAAACTAATTCTGACAAAATATTTATATAGATAGATATAACTCTCTCTAGATATATACATTTAAACATGATAGTTACGTAAAGTTGATTTATTAAACTAGGAATAAAAATAAATAGAACCAATTCTGGACAAATTATTTTACTCATTGCTATTGCATAAAATCTCTGTGATAATTCAGACATTGAAAGATTTATTCCATGTCACAACAGACTCACTAATTCACTCTACTACATGAAAATCAAGTCAAGATAAGGTCCAGAATATGTTATTAAAAAGGACCATAAAAAAGAAATCATTTCAAGTTCCTTCTAAATTGACATGTATTCTACAAACATGCTTTCTGTCACTTTTGAAAAAATACTATATACTTATTTTGACATGGAGGTAATCTGAGTATAAAATAACTCTACAATTAAAAGATTTAATTATATGATGAATATGTATTTGCAAGGTAAAACCTCTGATGACGTGTATTTAACAACTGCTGATTTTATGGCACTTTATATTGTATTGATGACACCTGCTATAAATGAAAATAATCTTCAAAAGCCCATGATGTGTCGGCTAACAAAGGTGCCACCGACTTTGTAAAAAAAGAGTTAGCACAATGCCAATCTACACATCACGCTCCCACATGACACTTTATAAGTAAAATTCTTTTGGGTGTCATTTGTACTCAAAATTTTCCCGTAAGGTCTGTCCCAAACAATTTCTTCGTTTGTGCACATTTCTAAAAGTTTCTAAAGATTGATAATTATACGCTAGTACGAACCCACTAGTATGAATGGGTATGAACCCATTTTACAAGCACCTCATTTGTCAGATCATTAAATACTAAAGTAACAATTTCTGCGCCTAATGACCTAAATTTGTGCACCACATTTTATACTTACAAAGGTATTATATGGCAGTACTGAGAGTACACTCACATCTCAAAAAAGATGAGGAAAACTTTCCTAGAAGTTATCAGTAGCATATAAAATATTACTCTATTGTTTCTGTGCTACCCATGGTGGCAACATGGGGATTGCTATTGCAGGCCAGTTTCCAGGTGGTCCAGTCTTACTCAGCACCACCCTCTGTTTCAGTCAGGAAGACCTAGTTACTTGTCTACTCTAAAATTCTTGCAGTGGTTGTCATTTTTAGTAGAGAAATGATAGTAGCAATGGTGCAAAATTTAACTTCACAATATTTTGCTGATGCCTGAAGATATTCCTTCTCATATCTACTCCAATTCATTTGCTGGAGTTCGAATTCCACAGTGGTAGTTTTGGTGCAAGAACAAAAATAACTGAGCTGTTTTCAGCCCTTTTCTAATTTTATAATAAACAGATAATACACAAACTAACTGCTTTTCTCAAAAATATGTCTGTAATCAAATAAAGTGCTGTTAAATATTTCACTGAAACTAAATCTTGAATCTCTAAAATGATTCAAGTTTCATGCACCTTTTATGATGACCATTTACCATCATTATTCTTATATCACTTTTCAAAAGTTATCAAACCATGCACAACAACTGTCATGCTTTAATAGCCAGTAAAATAATTAAAAAAAAATCATTATTCTACTATGGTCTTGATTCAATAAAAATAATTTTGTAGCTAATAGGGGACTTTGCAGACAACTAAACCTGTGAAGCGTGTAATCGATACAAAATCCCCACAGGACTAAAATTAACACAGCTTCTCATGACCTCAAACAATCTGCTCTCTCTTCATTGTCTTGTTTCTTGTATACAATTCTTATTGTGTTATAAGCCAAATCCACCACATCTTTCATCATAAATGATAAATTCTTTACACAGAATTGCTAAAGTTATCACATAATAAATGCTCTGCTATTTCCGTAGGAGAACAACTTGAAAACCTGCGGCTGCCTTTTGGGATGCACGACTTGTATCTAAGAAATGCTCCCTTGGTGTGATTTCTTTTGCACACTAACCACTAGACTCACTAGACCTGTTCCCTGTCTTACTTTAGGATGTTTAGAAGAAAGTTAAATTGCTTAGTATAATTAGGTAGGCCTTCTGATTTGATGTCCTTAAACCCAGTTGCCCTATTTCACTTGTTACTATAGTTCCTTCAAGTAGCAAGCAGTTATTTACCTACTTACTTACCACTTTCCTGAATCAAGGCTAGAACGACTTGTGCACAAGGGAAATAGAATATTTAATGAGCTGCAAAGGAATTCACTTAAGTGTTTTACAGTTGTCCCAAATAAAGTAGGTGAAAATCCATGAGGAATTAAGCATTTATAAACTGGACCTTCAAATTCATTTTTGCGATTTCCTTTGTGAGTTTTCTAAAACTAGGCCATGGAAAAACAGCAGTGTTTTGCAACTATTCACATGAAATTAGAGCCGTCACATGACTTTTATTTCAGTTCAAGGTCCTCCTGTAGAAAAACAGTGGGTTAATAACTCTGTTATGATATGTAATGAGTTTTAGAGGGAAAGTGCTGACTGTGTAGTTTGTGACTGGTATGTTACCCTTTTTTCCCATTACAGTTGTTGTGAACCTTATGCACTGTCAACTGTAAAATGGGAATATGCAGCAAAAACACGGTACCCCTCCAAGAAGGCATGGAATGACTTGAACCTTATGCATTTTGCAGTCTCTGCATGGTGTATATAACTTCACTTGGCAAATGTATGATCGATGTTAAGACGATATCAATCAAATACATCTCGACCCTATGTCACAGACCACTGCTTTTATTTCAAGGACTTTTGTGATTTTAGGGAGGGGAAAAACATAGCAATTAATTTCTTTCCAAGAGTGAAAATATATGCACCATGAACCTCCTCTGGCTGAGATGGCTGAGACCAAAAATGCACAAAGTTGAAATGGGTGAGTAACCAACCTTGGCGAAATATCGCATCCTTGCTGCATAAAGGCACCCAGGGAAAACCAGAGACTATTAAATATCCCAAATTCATTAGTTGATTCATTAGTTTGCGTTTCTCTTCCATCTTCAAATTCTTCAGTGTGCCACTCGTATGGGCTAAATCTGCTGACCAGGAATAAAACTACACTGACCCCAATGTAGGCAAAAACAATGCACATCCAGATTTCATATGCTAACGGATCAAGAAATGAAAACACTCCTGGTTTGGACTTCTGAGGCTTCTTGATCATTATTGATATCCCCAGGCTCATAAAGGGCTTTGAGAAGTCAATCACCTCTTCTCTCACCAATGTTATAGTTAATGGAGCAATTGCAATATCGGCTTTCTGTAAAGGAAGAAAAAAAGCAAATAATAGGTAATACAATGAGCAGAGCAAAGAATGGTTTAGTTTCTGTTGCATTTCACAAATGGAAAATTGGACAGCAGAGATACCGGCAACATTCGTTTCACCAAGAATGTCCTATGGAGAATTTCAGAAATATTTAGTTGAAACTCTTCTTATTGAAATACAAATAACCATACGGTTGGCATATTCCAAGCTTTCCTTTTTACACATGCCCTTTTAAAAGTATATGACATTTAAAAGTGTTAGTGAAGTACATTGCCTTTTGCCTGGTCAGAAGGATGAAATATGTACTCACTTCCCCCCAACTTCATTTGCATTTAAAATCTAATTCCATGTTTTACTTTCAAAGTTTTTCATGGCAATGCAAGTTACTAATTCTCTATCAAAGGAATTAGATAATTTTCCTCCACTCTACAGAGAAAACTAAACCAAATCCCACTCCTTCCATCAGTCATCTTTAATGGCTTTATTATAAAAGATTTTCTTACCCCATAAACAAGTTCTCCAACCATCCCATTCCAGATTTTCGTGTCTGCATCCCTCGCCCCATACTTGCCATCCCCAACAATTGTGAGCTTATATTTGAATCCACAGTGTTTAGCAATTTCTGTAGCTAAGTCCACACAATAGCCCTCATATCGATCATTTCCTTCAAGCATTTCGTGATTTTTCTTCATCATGACGTACGGGGACTCCTGCACAGAAAGAACTTGCCTTAGCTACTTGGTAAAGAGACAGATGTATCAGTTGTGCACTTCATAGATTAATATGTTTCCTTTCACATGCTAAAAAAAGAGAGAAGATAACATCTGAATCGTACATGCTATGTATATGTTAGCTGTTAATTATTAATGTGATATGTCCTTAACACATTTAAAAGCTGCATTCTCCACAGTCATACATAAATAACAATACTTACAGGTATAGTGATTCCCAGCAGTATGTTAATAATGACCATGAATGTTAACAGGAGTTACGCATTCAGAGAAGAAAGAGTAAGTTCCAAAATCAGTTTCTTTCTCTCACACAGTTTGGATGGAAGAAGGCAAAGGTATTTAGTTGCTTTTATTGTCTTAATACAAGAAAATTCTTTCCTATTTCACAACCACATCCCTCCCTGGGAAAACACCTCAGGCTCTCCAGGTTACATCTTTATTGGATTACTACACAAACGATAGGTAAGATATCTATAAATCAGGAGTGAAGTTCTATCATCAGCAAAACTGGCGATGAGTCATAGGTTGTATTAAAGTAATGTATCTCCTCTTTGCTCAGTCGTTACTGAACTATTCTTGCATCCAGTAAAACTCCTATGCTAGTCTGTGACTTGTCCAAACTGATAAAGCAGCTGTTTAACTTACAGAAAAATGCTGTTCTATGACAGTACATAATGTTATTTTCTGGACAACTAGAATACAACATTTAATGTTTTATTTTACACTTCACCAATCCATAGCAGCTACGATTCTGAAGCATAAGAACAAGTCTCTGCAGTTTGGCAAAATCCATTCTCTAAAACTAACACTATGGTTCTGCTTCTCAGACAAGTTCCTCTCCTTTGAAAGTAGGTATTTAATTTCTATTTTCAGGTCTAAACATTTTAACTTTCTAGGATGTTCAATCAATGACCATTTGTCTTCTACAGAACAAAACCGGATACCGAAGCACATACATTTCCTTAATTTCCAGATTTTCTTTTATGTATCATGAGTAACAGGTCACAACCTCAAATAATAAAAAGACAGTATATTTAAACTAACATGATGACAAGAAACAAATCACTGTAGGACAGACTGTCTTCTGACAAAATATGAGGTTAATTACCAAAATAGTGGTGACAATAATAGTCTTATTCTCTAGTCCTGAAGATTCATTTCCAAGAGGGCCATCAAGAGGATTCACAACCATTTTGTCCACTTCACTCCAATATCCAATCTAAAGAGAGTTTATAGGATGCACAGACACCAGTGAATATGAACTTCCACAGAAAAGGTAAAGCATGTCATTACTATGCCCTTGAGTTATGCTCACAAAAAACTATTTTAAGCTATGGATTTACCAGTGTAAATATTTCTATTTACGTAGTTAAAGACTGTAACAAATAGTAAAAAGATTGAACTAACGACATTTGTTCACATTAATTTGTCTAATACAGGTATACCATGTTCATTCATATTTAACAGGTTTCAGCATCAACATTACACACTGTAGAACTGAAAGTGTTATGAAATACTCCAGATTAGGAAGACATGAGAACCTGGCTTTTCCTGAAAGGTCTGGAATTAGAACAAAAAGATAATCACATTGAAAGAAACATCACTGAAAAGCTGTATTTGGCATTTGTCATTCAGAAGCCTGTCTTCCCAAACACTAGCTCACATTTAGCAATTCAGATCAGAAAGCAAAATGTTTAATCCACAAAATTGAAAGCAAAATATTCTTATGCAGTACTTACCAGAAATAACAACTTGTATTTGTTAGAAAGAAATAATACAGATTTTTACTTTGTTCTGCAATATCATTGTAGAATACACCTATGAATAAATATTATTATGACTTATGCTTTAATTAATCTATAGTGTTTCATTACCTACCTTAACCCATTGATTAGCATGGTAAAACCTTTAAAGACACTGTAAGACAATTCAAATTACCTTCCGAGGACCAGTACTTTTGAGTTCCATGATGTTTATTGTAAAATTGATTCTCTTCCCATTCTGATCAAACTTTATATTCCCTGTTAGACCTTCCACCTGAACCTATGTAGATGAAGATGAAAGTGGTAGAAGAATTAAGTTTGTTTCTTTTTAGAAAATGCATTTTGTACTTCCATAAATGGTTACTGATATTCCAAAAACATTCAGTTTAGACTCTTTTCCATATGCAATATATTATCTTAGTATGAGACACGTTCCTGAGGAGTTCACTTCCATATTATTCCCAGCAAGATCCAGGCAGGTTAGGAGACTGGAAGGTCCTTTTCAAGCATTTATAGAGAATTTCACACATGCACTCATCCCAGCATTCACTCCAGGAAAGCTACCTGTTTCAATGCCCTTTCTATTTCTACACCATGACCCCAGGGTACAGCTGGATTTGCAAGACAATCTCCAGCATTTCCTCTTCTGGAGATCTCAATCCTCTGTTTACGTAAATTACGGAAAGCTTCTGTCATCACTTGAACAGCATCATAGGTCAGAGCAGATGTATACTGAAAAGAAGTGAAAATATTTAATTAAAAACCAGCCTCAGCTTCGCTACACCTTCCAATGCACTCATTAATCCATTAAACATCGAAACATATTAAAAATAAAAAGGACAGTAAGATATACTTGAAATCAGACCAGTTTTTGTTTCATTTGGAGGTTACTACCCTCTGAGGAGTATCTATGCATATTAATGAAGTGTTCTCCATCAGAATGGTTAGGGGCAGTGCTAATAAGTCTGAACTGAAGATTTACAGCTGTTTCCAGTGTGAATTACATTCCTTTCACACTACAACTGTGTAACAGTTCTGTGTGCAGAAATGGTTGGAAGTCCATGGAGGTGAAAGGGGAAAAAAAGAAATACATTCCACCATTTAACTTGAGTTAGCCTCTAAAAATAAGAAATTGTTCCTCTGATTACACTCCTCAGGAAGATGTATTTATATACAGATCTCTAGACTACATCTCCTCCCACATATATACACACAAAACCAAACAATGTATATTTGTATATACGTGTGCTTAACTTTTATCAGTTAAATATAAAAACTCAAGGGTAGCTATTTTCAAGGATGCAAATACCTTGTTAGCACCATGCAAAACCAGGTTTTGGGCTGAGATGTCTGGAAGAAGTGGTGACCCTCAAAAAGCAATATAGGTGAGGAAGGGCCCCATGTTCCTAATCTGACGCAGTATAAGGAGTTTTACAACTTTTGAGACATCAGAGAAGAATCCTGCAATCACATGCCTCACAAGCTGGGACTAAACAGTCAAAGGCAGTTATCTTCAGTGACTGGAAAATTTTACATCTTACCTAACTAACTGAACAAAACCCACATGTGCACGTACACGGAGGACTTTGTTGGATGGGCTTTATGAGTCCAGAACATTGCAATTATACCAAATATAAGGGACATTTTTGGAAATATGGGCCAGAATATAACTACTTACAGCCTTATGAATGAATGCAATGATCCCTATGAAGGCTATTAGATCCTGAAAATATATAAACTGTAAAGTGGAGAGAAATGATATATTGGCTCTTTGCTTCAATGGCTCAGACTTTAATGAGAATTTTAATTAGCTAGCTCAAGTCATGCAGAAGGCTTTTGTAACTAAGGCAGGCTCCTGAATTGAGGTCATTTTTGCATGCAACTGTTAGACCTTGGAAAGGAAGAAAAGGAAGGTAAAAATCTTTTTTTTTTCAGATATATAAGCTTACTGTGTGATTAATGTGCATCTTCTCAAGAAAGTTCTCTCAGTGACTTGTACAGAAATCTTTAAAGGGATCAGAACAGCAGAAGAACAAAGTGAAAGACTGGCTGGAGCCAGTACTACTTTCTACTACTGGAGTAGCAGTGATTAAGTGGTGGACATGGAGGAGAAGGTAACAGAGAGAAAAGAAAGGACCCTGACTCATTTTGAGGGGACTGACTAGCAATACTTCTTTAAGTGTAGCTCTTTGCAGTACAGAAACATACTGTACTACACTAGTGTTTTGAGAAACTTTGGATATGGCACTGTCATTAACCACAGAAACATACTTTGGGTAGCAGAGAAAATAAGAGCTTGAAATTGAGAAGTTATAGTGCTATTTAATTCGGTTATTCTGTTTCATTTGATCTCATTGGGATATGTTTAATGTATTACCTCAAGAATATTACCCCTATAGTACGTAATTACTGGCCTGAATATTCACAGCTCGGTCATATATTCAGTTTGTGTAGAGCTTTGCCTATGAATATATGTCTGTATGTGTATATGTCATCACATATATAAAATCCACATTTTAATTTAGGTTAAGTCAGTTTTAGTCTAAGGATCTCAAAATATTTTACAAGCATCTTACACCTTCATGTTGTTGGACATGCCATGAAAGCAAACAGCCCATGTATCATTTCTTACTGCTTTATTCTGTATACAGTTTCAGCTCCTAATAACCTTCATGGGGCTTATTAAAACTACCTATAGCTTAATGAATAGATGTAAAGTTGGCAAACTGAAACAAGGTGAACTCATTACCACAAACAATAAATGACAGACACATAACCTGCTCATGCAGAGGGGTGTGTGTGTGTGTGTGTGTCTGCACAATAAATAAAATTGTCATAAGTTAAAGGATACATTAGCCCTGTCTTGATTCACTTTGTTTCATACTGGAGATTCATCCACGTTCTGATCTACACTATTAAAATATGTAGGAGCACTATTTGGAATATTATTCTGTGGAAGTGGGATGGGCTTTTGCAGCCTACAACTTTTACAGCAGTGTCAATCTCTTCACTTCAGTTCCTTTCAACCTTACATGATAAAATCAGCAACATACAATATGGTATAGGTACTATCCCATAGCTCCTACAGAATCACCCATATTAATTAAAGCATGGCAAAGAATATGAAAAAAAATAATCTTGCTTCTCATAATTCTAGAACTATGATAATAATAAGCTGATAATATAAATTATAATATAATGCACTGAAGTGCCTAAGGACTTTATGTTATTTGCTACGAAACATGGATTGCATGCATGCCATATGAAAAAAATTCTCCCTCTCTAAATAAACGCCCTAATTGCCAAGAATAGGAAACACAAGGTCTATATATGATTTTATTCAACTTAAATTTAACATGTACTATAGACCTTAACAAAATTTGTAAGCTGCAATTGTGAAGATGAATTTGAAAAGTAAAGACAAAACAAAATCATTCCAGACTAAGCAGAAGATATTAATCATGTGCTGTCCAAGAAAATCTAGCCAGATGATGACTTTTGTAACTTCACCTGTTTTCCAGTAATTCAGAAGATACCAGAAATCCTTAACTAAAAGGCCCAGTATCCTATTCTGTACAATCAGTAACTAAATCTTCCGAAGATGAAATTGCAGGAGACACCCCCAGAAACACAAGATCTTTTTATACATGTATTTTAAAGCTGTAAGATATTATTAGAAGATGTAATGTTATCCTGTTAGTCCTATGCTTAACCCAGTGCCTGTCCATGTGCTGAGACATAAAGTTGAGAGATATGCTTAAGGATTTAAACTATAACATTAAAAGAATATACTTCAGCAGTGGAAAAGGAATGAAAATGTGAAGACATAAATGCAGGAAAAAAAAAAGAAAAAAAGGGAAGTATTCTGAATCACAAGAATTTGTATTTCTCTTCATTTGGGTATCTGCAATGTCTAAATCTATCCTTGACATACTAGTTGTTTTTTTTTTTACAGTCAGAGAAGAGAAATAAGCATTTTAATGTGTGATTCATTTCACCTGTTAGACACCTTCTTTAAGATGAAATTAATCATGCCTTAGATTCCATTAATTTGATCTCCAGTGACTTCTGAGACCACTGGAGATACACTAAAAACAAATTAAAACCACTCAAGGGGACTATAAACTAGCTATTCAGCCCTAATCTAACACAACAGTGAGAAACACAAACGAAAAAATAGGAAATTTTGGGCAGAGACTGTACCAGCAGAGTCAAAGAACATAGTCGTAGTGTACAAGACACTAGGGAGACCTCAGCTAGAACGGCAGATCCAGCTGAAGGAGTGCTCAAGACAGCTGAAATCAGTCTGAAACAGGCACAGAAGAAGGGTCCTCACCATGTATGGGGGGCTGCTATTGGAATAGCAGGACAGGGACACTGTATCACTAACAGAGGTTAAGAGAAAGGAGGTCTAAAATCAGAGATAAATACATTTCCTTGGAGAGAGGGTAAGAGTCAAAGAGAGGTAATACAGGAAATGTTCTTTGTTGCAACAGCAAGTGGGTAGAATCAATGAGTATAAGTAAATGTTTTGCATTTTTCCTTATATTTAAACAATTTGAACATATTTAAATATCAACAAATATACATCAAAGGCAGTAAAGACATAAACCATGTATCCTTGTAGTTTGTGAGTATATTAAATTTTCAGCTTAATGCTCTATACTAGAAATTTTTTTTCCAATGGTTCACTACGCATTTTATCACCTTGTTTGCAATACTTCACCAAACTATACAGAGACTAAATTGGGATATCAAATGGTGTCTTGTTTTAATACATGTTACAGCTTTATTTTGCCTTGAGAATTATATTCAATAAAGTCTCTCATCTGAATTTTGTGCTTTCTTCCCGCAACAAAGTATTTCTCTACTCGAATCTTAGTATATACCACAAAAGCAGAATTGCATTTTCATAGTGCTTTGTACAACAATAGTGCTTTTTGGTCAAACCATTCACAAAACTCTATCAAATTGCTTGTAATTTCAGAAGTAACTGCTACAGGTTGGTACATAGATATCAAAGCATTCCTACATTTGTATATATATCATATATAAAAAATAGGTATATACATATATAAACTCGCAAGCAAAAAGAATGAGACACAAAGTTACTTGTCAAGAACTAGTAAAGAAACTAACTGGGCAACTACCTCCTCTGACTTTCAATGTAGTCAAATTAATGCAACTCAGGCACCTATTTCTTAATGGTCTTTCTTTACATGAATGTATCTGGCGGTTACTTTGAAACAGACAGTATTACCCACACTTTGGAAAACATCTGAAAGTGGCCCGACAGATGAAATAGTGGAAAATTCACTAAATCACTAAATGGCTACCTTCTCCAGGATCTCTTGTGATCCCCTGCATACTGTCATGACAGAGCATGGGAATGCAAAGTTACTTTCAATAGAAATACGTCAAATATTGTACACATAAGTGTCATTGTGAATCAGGATGGCTTTTAATTGTGCCTATAATCATGAATTGTTCTCATTTGTTCTGAATAGGGGTCTGTATGAAGCAACATGTCGGGCTGGTTGCCATTCAAGCTGCAAATGGGCTTTAAGCATAGGAGCATCTTCCTTACCTATGGGCATGTTTCAGACACTGGGAACATGAGGTAGAGGTCAGGGAGCCCAGAAAAGACAGAATGCTTGCCTCTTTCTCTTTGAACTTTACATTAGAACGGAGCTCTTGTGAAAACAGGCAGCCTTTACAACAGACTTGCTTCCAGCTGGAA